TATCAAAAGTAAAACTCATTTTGACAACTCAGCTTTATTTTGCAAAAAAATGATTCAGCAAAAATAATGCATTTTACATGAATACAAATTTAATTGCATAGGATTACTTCTAATAAATTAAATGTTCTTAATAAACAATCGTTTCATAGTAACAAAAAATAGACAATCTGATATCACAGAGCATCTCACCTTTCAGTAAAAAGTAACTTCAGTTTACCAAATCCTATTGATATGCATACTGCTGCATAGAAATCACATTATCACAAAAGGAATAATGGACAATCCCATTACAATTATCACACCTAACAAAAAATAAAGTTTAATAGATTCATTACTTACATTGCTATAAGCATATATATCTTCACAAAAGAAAAAAATCCTGTCAGTAATCATGGAATTTGAATAATAAAAGTGAAAATTATTAAACCAAAATCAACCGTTTGTACATCTTACTGAACACTTTGAGAATGTGTAATCATGCAAAATAAACATAGATAACACACAATGCAGACATGAAAATGAAAATGTGCAACTGTTTTAAATTTTTTCTTATTCTCTGAAAAAAGTCAAAGTAAGAGAAGATGCATGGAAATTTAAAAGCATTTTTATGTATGTTAGAGAAACAGATTTCATATGATGATTGGTAAATGGAGTTATCAAATAACTAATGGCTTTAGGATAATCAACATTTTTGTAATAAATTCTGTCATACAGAAAAATAGAAACAATTATACAGCCTATATAAATACCTGCACTTGTAATTTCAATAGAATCAACATAACTTAAATCCATTTGTACAACAAAGAAAGAAAAATAACTTATTGCTATGATATAGCACCATGAATTATATAAATGTTACAATTCAGTAGCAACTTTATCAACATCTTGTGTTACAAAAATATGAATCTCAGGACAGTAATAACAGCAGTTCCCACAAAACATGCTAATGTAAATACCAAGCAAAAGATGGGATTGGTCTAATAAAAATAAAGAACTGAAGAAGGTACATGTAATTATAAACTGCCTTATGGTACTAATCAGAATAAAATTCAATGAGTACTATAATGAAAACCTTTTATATCACAGTATATACACCTTGTTTTTGTATCAAGGTAACTTAAATTTGTAAATATATTTTCTATTTCCTACAGAAATGCTAAAGAAGTATATAAATAGAAATACATATATCCCTTAAGTCATAACATCACACCTGAAAAAATACTGTTTTTAGGATGATTACAGGAACTGGGTTCTATTGTAGGCACACTTTATAATGCTGTTCTGTTTGTATCTTCTCTTCAAATATCACCTTCAGCTTTCTTCCATGCTGTCCTTAAGATATTGCCTGTGTTGTTGGAGTTCTTGCCTATAATCTCATCAGCATCAGAATCTGCAAAAATTTAGAACGAGTATAAGAGTAACTGACTCACTTTAATGGATTTCATATTAGTTTTGTCAGATACAGTGTTCAAGCTAGCAACATACCTGTTGATCCTTCAACATCTGCCTCAAAACAACAAATCTGGCTGATGACTCCAAAGTGTGTTGTAAACGAATCTGGAGAATTAAGATAAATTTTAATAAACTGAAATTTATTAGTTTCAAGGGAGTTCCTTCACTTTTATCTATTGAGAAACAAGATATATTTTCTTTCCATACAAAAGAAAATTAAATATGAAATATGATTTCATACCATATTTTGGAACTTTTAGCTGATGATTATCATCCGTATTAGGAAGATCAACACAGTATTGATCTGAAATGATTTAATACAATGTAACATATTTTACAGTATAATTTCTTCCTAGTAAATTAATGATCATAACTGCATTCATAAACTACAATAAGAGTTAATATTTATTTTATGGTTTAGAGAATACTAATAACTTTGAATGCAAAACTAAAAATACTTTATGGATAGAGAATTTAGATCAAACTGTATGTATGACTTTTAATCTTTGAACATCTCTCTATTTACCCATGTTACAATAGTATTCTGAAAAGGGTGGGGTGGGGTGGGGGGACAAGCATTGAGTATGGTCTGGAAAAAAAGTGTTTTCTGGCAGTTTAACCAATTAGTTCTAGGTGCATGCCCTGTCCAATGGAAATCACCAATTATTTGTAAATATCAAAGGCAGAATGTCTCTTAGAGACAGGCCTTTTTTTTTATATATAAAACCAACTTTTCAGAAAATTGAAAATGTTGGGTAGTGCTAAAGTAACAGAGACTATGTGCAACCATACAAGGTCAAATACTGTGAGTGCATTTTCATCCATGCATCTTTCTGGTAAACTATTTTCTGCCCTGTCAATTATAGTAATAATTTCTATGAAATGGCAAAATATAACATTACATGATGTTCATCCACTGTATGTTCATATTAGGTGACTTCCTTGAAAGATTTATTTATGGAATGAGGTCAAAAGGAGAGAGAGATCTTTTGCACCATGTGCATTCACACCCTAACATTTCTGTTTGGAATTTAGCTCTACATTTACTGTATTAATTTCAACTCACTTATCCTGTTATAAGTTTTAATAACCATATAACACACATACAAACATGTTAACCTTTACAGTGTAGACCCAATAAGCAAGGGAAATTGAAGGCAATAATCTTGTAGAGGATAAAAAGATGAAGTCACTTGTACAAGAAATAATCTGCATACATGAATGGTAACACCACAAATAAAATAAAGAGATCATGGAAAACACTACTCACTCTGCTTCTGAGTTTCAGCTCACCTTGCTGTGTGTAAAACTTACATTGTTGAATAGATTTTGTGACATGAAGTCATGGACTTACTCTCTGATGAGTGCTACCATACAGTGAAGATTTACCTAAACACAAATGTGTGTTTATTATATATGAGCCTGGCAGCAGGGGTCATAAACTCTTTCAACAAGAGTATTTGGAGAAGCTGGTACATGTGCAGAAGGACCAAGTTACTTATCTTCAAGGCCCTAATACTGTAAGTTTTACTTTATGGTAGTGAAACCTGGACACTATCATGTGCCTTGGAGTCTTGTCTTAATGACTTTTGTAACAAGTCCTTGAGCCAGATCAGTTGGCAGGACCATGTATCTGACTAACAGTTACAGTGAGATTGTCACAGGACAGTTACTTTTACAATAAGGGGCCTGCCAACTCAGGCTATATGGGCACCTGACTCACTACTTGCAGGATAATCCTCTCCATCAGGTTGTCTTTATTCGAGACAACCTTGTGGCGGAGGCCTGTGGAATGACCTAAGAAGTCATGCCTTTGGTAGACTGATCAAACCTGTCATTAGGAGCTAGAGATGGGCTGAAGCCCAGCCTGGTGGCTTGCCATGAAAAACCTTCACAGATGGAAATGAAGGGTGGATGCAGCTACGCACCCCCATCAGTGCAAGCTTCCCAATGATGATTTCATAACAATATTCAAACAATATGTAGATGGAGGTAGTGGCTGAATTGGGTAATATAACCTATGGGAAATGACAGATACACTACCTCCCAAAGGTGCTATACATAAAAGAGAGAAGATCACACATTTTTAGCTTAGTTGCTTATCTTGTTTACAATGTGAGGATAAATACTACACTGACTTTATGACTAGGCTAAGAATTCCCTGGCTAGGAGTACACTATGGGCTTTTGATGTCCTTATGGCTGTAGATTTTACTAAAGAGATTGGTAGGCCCATAGGCTTCCAAAGATGACCGGCATATTCACAGTTTCACAAGCTGATTTTCAGCATTTTTCACTGTGCTTTTATCCATTTTTGTTCTATATTCATTCAATTTCAGCCTGTTTTACCTCATAATTTCCATGACGTACTTCATGCTATCCCGTACTAGATTGATGGAAATGGTACTTAGATCTCTTTAATGATTCACAAGGAACGACACCAAGAATGATTGAAGTCTGTGGATTTCCAGCATAAAAACATCAAAACTATTTTGGAAGCAAATCACTACCCTGCTATCCATACTGACCAAATACTCCTTCAATATGACAAGAGTGGAAAAATGTACTAAATAAAATAAATACTTAAAGGAATGAGTTAAAGTTACCTTGGTATATCTTCAAAAAATAAGTATGCTAGTTGTTACTTAAGTTATAAAAAAGCTACTTGTAATGACAGTTTTCCTTAGAGTCATATTCTGCAACTGAAACACTGGACAGCAGTTCAGTATATTTGAAAAAAAACAAAAAAACTAATCAATCAAATAGAATTATTGCTGAAAAGAAAGAGATCAGGTCAAGGTGTGAATGCATCTGACTCTGGCTTGGTAAATTTGGCTTCGGAGGTGATAACAAATACTGCCAAACAAATAAGGTTTTGAAAAAAAAAGTTATCATGAACTAAACTACACTTAGATAGAACTCTTGTACCTGGTTTTGGAACTGCTGTTGAGAGCAGACGACCAGTGAAAGTATAATAGTGTTCACAGAAATGTTTGCTGCAAACCACGTACGATTTCCATAACTGTTCAAGGCTTTTATTCTTGAGAGAAGCTATGTTCAGCACCTTCAGCCATTCTAAACATCTGAAAAAGCCACATCAACTGTAACTATGAATGGTATAAACCTATAGGCAACAAACCCCTAAAGATATTCCAGTATTACTAGCCTTTTCTTATTCCTCGGGAAAAAATGGAATTTGAGATTCTCGTTATTTTTCTTCTTTGCACCGCAAACCGCGCAGCTGTGATACCGGCCCCTCGAGACCATTTTCACTCATCCTTCTGTACAAACACTGTAAAATTCAGCCAGAAAAGCTTTTAATTCAGCGACGCCGCGGGAGGTGGCTCCTCGCACGTGCTCGCCCGGGGGTTCAAGTAACTGCGGACGACGCGGGTCAGGCGCCATCTGTTCGGGGGGAATAATTAATAAGGAAATTCCGGTCAGTGGTTAAACCCTTATCTCTCATTTCACCTTTAAGTAATATAGTGACCTATGAAATTCACTAATTACCCAATTACTTGATAATCAAATACACCCTTCAATTACTCCTGCAAGCTCGTCCGCGCCGCCCGGGGACCGACTCACGAGGAGGCGACGAAGGAGGCGACGCTTAGCAGGAGACACAATGGTGATAACCTCCCCTACCTTATTCGCTCGTGCCAGAGGAGGCGATAGGTTCTGGAAGAGGAGGAGGATTCTCTCGCTCTCAGCTGTAAGGAAGTATTTCGAATGAGAACAGGCCATTTCATTTTAAAGGGCCTTTTCGGATTTTTTTGTCTATGTCTTACGAAAAGCATTTGTTTTGGAGTAGATTCCTGTCTTGGGGTTTGCAGATCAGCCTCAGGAGCTTGGAAGTGAGTGCTATTCAGTTCGAGAATAGGTGTAGGGGGAAGCCGGATTTTTTTTTTACAATAAGTTAATTTGGTTATAGAATCCCAAAGAAGATCGTCTGTTTTTGCTTTGTTCTTTTCCCGATCTTTTTTGTAAACAAAGAGAAATTTGCGTTTTACATGCTATGAATAGCAATGCTTGTTACTGAACTCTCCCAGAAGGAAATATTGGCCTCTAAATAACTGAATATATTATGAAGCACATAATATGCAAATGAACTATGAAACAGTGTACATTTATTATTAATGACATTTTATTTCTAAAGGCAGGCATTGTAATTTCTCATGTATTGTGGTGTGAATATAGCAAATCCAATATTCGGACAATATGTAGTAAAAGGTAGTGGCAGAGTTGGGTAATAAAACCTACATGAAATGATAGAACAGTACAAACCAAGACAAAGTTCTTCAATGGCAATATGTGTGCAAATGCTTCCCGAGGCTGCTATACATTAAAGAAAAGAGAAGATCCCCCAATTTTGGCTAAGTCGCTCATCTTGTTTACATTGTCAGGGTGAATTCTAGATGTATATACTACTATGGGGGTCCAGGGGGCATAGCCCCCTGCCTAGGTTAGGTTGGGTGTTGGGTTAGGACGTTTTCTTTAACAACCATGGGGGTCCTGTTTTACCCCATAATTTCCCTGATATACCTCATGCCCTCCCTTGCTATTGGGAATATCAAATCAAGATTGTTGATGGAGATGGTGATCGTATCTCCTCAACGATTCATTTGCACAAGGAACAATGCCTAGAATTGTTGAAAGCAGTGGATTTCATGCATAAAAACATCAAAAATGTTTCGAAAGTAACACACTACCCTCTTCTACATATTGATCCTTTGTCTTGGTTTGCATTGTTCTATCATTTTATGTAGGTTTTATTACCCAACTCTGCCACTACCTTATACTACATATTGACCCAATATTCGTACTAGTTGGGAACTGTTAATTTCTAGGGTAGTAACTGTAATCCCCTTCTCCCATCCACCAGGTTTGTGGGTTCTTTGGGAAATCAGGCATTTTAGAAGGGTGGGGCCAACAGTTCACTTAAAATGCTGTTGGCTTCTGTTTGTATGTAAACATGAATAAATGATATATAATTGTCTACAGTTTACATAGTGTACTGTGTGCACAACAATTGTGATTTCTTCAGCAACTATAAGAAAAAGGTCAGCAAGCATCCTCCAGACATATTCTGGTAATAACTTGGATTGGTGTAACATTAATAGGACAATATGTAGTATAAGGTAGTGGCAGAGTTGGGTAATAAAACCTACATGAAATGATAGAACAATACAAACCAAGACAAAGTTCTTCTATAGCAATATGTGTGCAAATGCTTCCCAAGGGTGCTAGGTATATGTATTACCCCGGGGGTCCAGGGGGCAGAGCCCCCTGCCTAGGGAATATATACCACGTTGTTAGGCTAGGTTGGATGTTGGGTTAGGTCGCCCATTTGCACAAGGAACAATGCCTAGAATCGTTGAAAGCAGTGGATTTCATGCAGAAAGTAACCCATCTTCTTCCCTTTTCTTTTACGTATAGCACCCTTGGGAAGCATTTGCACACACATTGCCATAGAAGAACTTTGTCTTGGTTTGTATTGTTCTATCATTTCATGTAGGTTTTATTACCCAACTCTGCCACTACCTTATACTACATATTGACCCATTAATATATATATAGAACTAAACCACAACTGGCTTCAAACTGTTTCGAATGAGACTTTAAGCCCCCCAAAAAACATCATGGCCTGCTGATCTTGACAAAGTTTTTAGATGTTATCATCTAGAGACAAATTGAACATCCAGGATTGCTATTGATCTGCTTCAATATACATTATTGTAGTGAACCCATCATTTGGTTTGTGGCTTTGGGTACCCTGTCTTAAGTGGGTTAAAGCAGAAATATAATACAACTTTAAGATGGGTCTTTTTTAATGTGATTTTTCCAAGTTTTATGTAGCTAATGATTTACAACATGCCAGAAATGTAACCATTGCTAATGGCTCAGTAACATTACATAGGGTCAGTAATGAAGCTGTTGAATTTGTGTAATAATAAGTTTGCTCTTTGGGTTTTAAATTAGGCTCCCTCTTTTAATACCTTAAATGCATTATATTTGTATGACTGATATAAATACTGATATTAATGGTCAATCTTTGGGGCATTGTTATTTTTTAAATTATTTTTCTTGGTGGTCACTCCTTTTGTTTCCAACTATTGTTCATGTAACCGTAAACCACATTGCAGTTTGATAAGGAGCCTATCTGGTGCTGATTTATGATATATTTATATGGATTTTGTTGCAATGATAATGCATAGTTTTAGTAGCTGCCAAGGGATAAATATATATTGCAGGTAAGCTATATGTTGGTATATTTCATTGCTGAATGTTAAAAAATACTTTGAAATTAGAGTGTAATCCTATTAAGCCTGTGATAACCTTTATGATAATGGTAATGATAATGGTGTGAATCCATATCATTTTGATCAGCTATTCAAGATTTTTTTTATACATTTATTAATAATATTATTATATTTTAATATTAGCAAACAGCTAGGATTAGAATCTAACTTTTTAGAGTATTTCAGAGTATCTAGGGTAACTGCAAGGAAGCAAGTGACCTTTTTAAGTAAATACTTATTGAGTCTTTCTTTCTGTTATCATTGATAATTATTTTTTGTAAACAAGCATCAGAATAACAGAATATCTGGAGAGACTGAGATGCATAAAAGTTAAACTTTAATAAAAAAAATGGGTCTTTTCAGCACTACTTTGGGCGCAAGAAGAATTGCTACTCTATTGCTATCAAGTATGTGCATAGAGCTCTTCGTTACTCTACAATCGCACGAAGGCAGAAGAAATTAGACCTAAAAGCTGTAAGTATTAACCCAATGCCGATGGACTTGGCATGTACGTACATGCCATGTCCACTGAGAGTTTACTTATTTAATTGTTTTTACACATAGATGGCTACACTTGTACTAAGTCACCAGTGGGCCAGTTATGAGTACTACCTGGCTCACCCGTTCACCCTTTTCATTGATTTACGAAAATATTTTATGTCATCTCGTTTTGCTGTTACTAATATTTATAACATTATAGTAATTATAATGTTTATAATAAAAATAACACTATCAATATTCATAGCACTAGTATAAAATACGTTTTTCCTGCCAATTCAAGGAAAACTGAAATCAGGTAAGGTCACAAGATCTACTAATTGACTCCTTTGTGGCTAAGCACTAGCAGAGCCATCTATGTGCAGATACATTTCATAAAAATATATAAGATGAGCACAGCATTTTCCCCATTTTTCATTCATTTTCCCCTGCGGCAATGGGTTAATTATTGTTAAGGGACTGTCCTTATATAAAATGAAAATGGTTTGAAATGATTAGATGAAACCTGGTAGAGTTATAGATTATGAATTAGCATGTTTTTTTTGGCGTAAAGTGGTTTTAGTTGCACCCCAAGTGGGTTAATCAACCCTTCTTCCCAAAAATCACATATTAAAAGTAAAATTTTGATAGGTCTTGCCACATTTCCAGAGCAATAACCACTAACCATTTAGAAAAAAATATCTGAATAAAGATTAAGCACAAAAATGTGATTCCAAATTATATAAAGGAAAATATATCTAGGAAAACATGAACAATTAGTTACTTGAGATTTGGATACTTTTTGTCATTATTCTTCAGCATTAATTATTTTTAATCTGCTTAGAATATGATGAAGATATTACCAAACCGTCCATTCATAATGTCTATATTTTTCTGTATATTTCTTATCTTATTTGAACAAAGTAGATTACACATATTCTTACTGGTAAATAACATAATTAATTAAAATCTTAAATTATATGTGGAGGTGGTTACACATTTATTACCACATGTAAACTTGGAATTTTGTTGTAAGATTTATCAATCATTTTTTCCTTCTTGTTTTTTCTCACAGTAGCATAATATCCAGGGAGAAATATCACAAATCACCAACTACAGTAGTAAATGGATATCCTGTATATAACAATTATTTTCTTCAAGTGAGAATGATAATTCTTCTTTTCACTGCAGCTTTGGAAGGCCCGTATCACTGGAGGTACTGAGGAGTTTGGCACCAGCTACAATAGCATGAAATATACATTGAATGACATTGGTATTGGACTAGACCACAAGATCTTGCAAAACATGGCTATTTGGGAGCCACGGACCTTCAGGGTAAGCTGTGATAGAAGTAAAATAGCTTAAATTCCTATGAAATGTTTGGATTCAAAATATTGCCTTTTTTGTGTGATCATAAATTGGCAGTCTTTTTCTGCATCATTTAGTTTTTAATACTACTTATGGTGGATGATGTGAATGATGTTTATGCTCATGACCTCCCCTTATTTTTTTTATACAGGGTCTTGC